TCTGTAACATGTTATAGAGCTGTATAATATTCGCTAGTCTAGTACGGTGATGGTTAGGACGTAGCATATTAGAATTAAAGTCGCCAGTAATAACAATATCATCAATACCAGTGTTAAACGCTAAGTCAATAGAATGCTCAATCAAGTCCCAGTCGTTAATATCGGAGTTAGGGGGCCTATAAAAAATTCCAAATAGTAGCTTCTGCCCTCTATAGAGAATTTCAATCCAAATACACTCAAGATTACCTGCTTCGATATCATTACGCCTTTTAGCGAATAAGTCATTCTTTATATAAAGAGCAACTCCCCCACCTATTCTATTTGGCCTATAGCGACAAAAAGGTTTCTGAAAACCGGTTAATTCTAAATCGTTGTTACTTTGAGTATCGCTCAACCATGTTTCAGTAAACGACAAGATATCATAGTTATACAATTCAGTAAAGAGATGGTCAAGTTTTGGTCGTAGACTTTGGACATTCAAATGAACAAATGACAAATTATTGTCAGAATTCAGCAACTCTTCGGATAAAAGAGACGAAAAACTCGAGGTGTCGGTGAGTGAGCTAGAACGTTCAGAGTTAGAGGGACCTAGGTTCAATTCGACGTCACCACTTAAGTACAAGAACAATAAAATTGAGACTGAGAGAGTGAAGGTAAAATTGGTAAATTCACTAAGAAAAGCTGGACAGGAATTACGTAATACTACATGTGTTATGAAAACGTTATTTGTTGTGATGTATAGTATTATATCGGTCAGGAAATACATAAGTATATAATAGATATATATGCAAAACAATACATAAAATAAGATATTGATAACGTTTGGTGATCTAATGTTCATACGTTTCATAGTTACAGTGGAAAAAAGACCTATTCTTGCACGATATTGCTCAACACAAATTGACATTAGGTAATACCGGGAGAGAACACATTAAAATGCCATGCAAGAATATAATTGATCCTGTAGAGTGAGCCGTAGCGTAATGATGAAACAAAGCAAACCGGGGATTTATATGCATCAAGGGGGGTAATAATATACAAAAGTGAAAGGGGCGACATGTTTAAAATGAATATTTGATCATAAGTGGTAATAGGTGAAGAAAAGTAATAAGAGTGAGGATGAGAGAGAAGATAATAGTCATCACTGGTATGATGAAAGAAGAAAAAAAATCAAAAGGACTTAATAGTGCATTCATGAGATCGCTGTTAACATAACCAAACATCGTACATATAGTGTCAGCCATAGGAGGTACAAAATAAATTACATATTACAAAAAGAAGGAATAAGTAAGTTAACTACGTAATTACTATAACAAATATTTGGAATTTTAGGGGCAAAGAAGTTAAACTAAGGAAAAACACATCAGTTGCTAAAAAGGGAATGATCGTTTCTAAGAAAAAAAATCGCTCAATAATTAAGCTTTGTGAATGAACACTAGCTTTCGCAGCTATAATAAAAATAATATTAATAACAAAAAGTTCTATGCAGTTCAGTAAGTAAAGTAAACGATGAAATAACAGGACAAAGGAGCACAGTCTAACACTTAATTCTATGGGATTACTTATATACAATAATGTACATCAAAAGTGACATTAAGTTCAGATAATCAGAACGATTATGAGTAATAATTTGCTCTCACATACTGATGTTGATTTGAGAAGTCTCTAAAACACGATTAGTTGTACATATTATGTAACATTTTCATAAGAGACAACAACACAATTGACAAATGGTTTCCGTCTAATGTAACCATAGCATTACTTTTTTTATCGTATACATGTATGTACACAGCAAATTGAGATTATATGAGCGCAACAACCAAAATGTAAGAAAATTACTCTGCAGTCACCTCGACCTGCGTCGCTACAATAGTATTATGTAACGTATAGTATGTATGTGAGTTGTACACTCATATATAAAATGAACAACTTTTGCATTGCCAAGGGGGGTAGCTCATGAAGCAATATCGGCTGTTATACATATGCTATATGTCGCAGCCAACTGAAGCTTACCGAATTTTATCAGTTATATCAATGAGGATAAAACCCAAATTGAAGAAAATAGTATTGACAAATGTTTTTCTTAATTCCAATACATACCCGTCGCCAAGTAAGGTTATGGATGATGAGAATATAAATTTATACATAAAACTTTACATGTTGATCAGTAAGTGGCAGCAACATCAAGTTGGAATAAAACCGATGATATTAGCTAATAAGTTAATGATTTTGACTATCATCGCAAGTATAGGTCAGGCATCACGTCATACCAGACTTTGTCACTTGCATCGTGATACACAGACAAGTAGCCGAGATCATAGTCGCACTTACTCTGGGGTGCGTGTAATTAAGAAATTAATGAACGACGATTACAAAGCACAAATATTGCCCATATATCCTTGTTTGAAGCAGTGTACTGCAAAACACATTTATATATATAAAGAAAAAAATAACAATTGCCCTGATATAGTAAAAAATACAAAGTTTTATGATACATTGTCGTGTTACCAGGGGAGATAACTCTTACGATCGGACAATATACAAAACTTGTCATAGAAAGGACTACAAATATTGAGAACAACATATTTGAATAAGTCTAGTGAAATGCACTATGTAGAACATGATGCTAGTAAAATGACACCAAGTCGACACCTGTATCATTAACACAAACCAGATATTACAGATACATTTATGTGATAGGAACCAGCCTGATCAACCGTACCGCGAGCCTAGACAGCATGTTGGTCAAAACAACGCTAGCCATGACCGCCAAGCTATCGACACGGTTAACCAGGCTAGGGAAAACATTTTTAAGGATTTCGTTTACCATGAGTACATCTTTATGTAATGCATCTCATGGGAACTGGAAGTATACATAATCAACGTGCTCACATACATATATATGCTGGATACAGATATTACGATACATATTTTAATTTTAGACATACATTTATATAGTTATTGCCATGTTATCAATCATTCAGAATAAGGTAACGAAGGAGATAAATGTCAAAGTGTGTGACTGTATATCCGAAATAGATATGAATTGAATATGTATATAGATAAGTCATTTTAATTATTTATAACTTATATGACTCGTGCTTAAGATGCTTGCAATGCGAAAGCTTTTGGAGGGCACGAGAAGCATGAAAAATAGTAATATGAACTATGGACGTAGAGTCGGTTGTTAGTAGTTGATATTAAGCAAATGTTCTAACGTCTGATCGCCAAAGAGGGCGAACCATGCGTATATGTATTCCATTATCTATAAATATATTATCTATAATATGTTCTTATGCGTCCACCAGCACTAGTAATAACTCTAGCATCAGCACCATGACAAAATGTCACTGTGTTACCAACCCAACACCAGCATCGTAAACACTCGGATATCAGACATGAAGCTCAATCTTTGGTCATACATTCACTAGGCTGGGGGTCAGTAAGGAGATTGCTGATGGGCGGGGGGGGGGGGGGGGGGGGGATTTCTTAACAATAATTCTACAGACTACAACATCAACTGAAAAAGTTGAGTAGAAATTTTGAACATCAATGTTACTTAGTTACAGTATGGCCAAACGGGCACAGATCTTCTTTCTGAATGACGTGGTCGCGGTCATTAGTGTCCCTCACGCGGATTTTCCCGTTGGTTGTCCAAGCTTTCTTAATAAGTTTTTTCTTTGCTAACTGACGAGCATGGAAGAAGAGGGAATCGCGCAATTTGGTCAGATCCTCATGAACAGATATCACTCCTTCCAAAGATCGTAATTTTGGACTATTAATGAGCAGATTGCGTTTAGCATCACTAGACTTAAGGCGCACAATGATCTGTCTAGGTTTCGGGGGACCATTCCTTCCCTGTCGAGGCTTGCCCACACGGTGGGAACGCTCGATGTCATCACTTGTTATGGGGATATTGACCTTAGTACATATGTCAACTACAAGGAAAGTAGTATCTTCGGCTGTAGGTTCGCTACCAAAAGACGCCATTTCCTTTATACCGAAAAAACGGACTAATGGACGTCGTCCGTATTGTTCGACGTCATCAATTGCAAACCGCAACTGTCTATTTTCATTTTCGAGGGCCTGCAATCTCTCCTGAATAGGTGTTACTTCCTCTAAGACCATCTGCCGGAGTCTGTCGTCGGTTTTTTTAAGTACACGATCGGCTATTTTATCTATCTGATCGTCGGTTAAAGTAACCGATATTGGTCGGTTTACAACCGATTGGGCGATAGGTACATGCTGTCCATGAGTGTACACAAAACGGGGGTCCATATTAGCTGATGAGGGGGTGGGTAAATTTGCCTCTTCAGCCATATAAAATGAATAATTGTCAGAGACCTCGGGTTCGGGCAAGTCCAAGATGTAACTATATGGAGAAGACTTTTTACTTTCGGGTAGATCAGAAGACGATGATGAGCTCCTATCGTTACGCGTTCTTTTATTAGACTCAGAGTCTCGATGGGTACTGGACATATCAGCAAAGCAAATAATGTGTACACAGCGTACGCGAGTTGGCTAGGGTAATAGAATGTGAATTATGCTAAGCAAGCAGCGTGAGCACACTATCGGTAAACAAAGTTCAGTTAGGCGTAGCCGGGTGGACAGGTATTGCTTACATATACATGTAGATGCAGGATATAAATACAGTTTCAAAAGACACAATACCTCCAAATATATGTCCAGCAGTGTAACATGACTCCTTACAAATCACATGGCAGACTTTCACAACAAAACTCCTGCACTAAGTCGTGGAATTTCACATAATTCTCCGGATAGATCTACCCACTGTTGTCACTGCAAGGGCAGATCACTTTTCTGACCGGTTGGATGTTCTGTCACGGACTTATCCCGAGGTTCTGAATTTCATCTCATTTCCTATGTTTCACAAATTCTTTTAACTAAGATGTAAACTACCTGTGAGAGTATTCATCATGTTCAATATGCCGCTGACGATTTTGTTGTTACTATAAATAACGAAACAATGATATATTCAATTTGGAAAATCATTTAATATTTATATATTAAAGACACTCACATTTAAGAAAATAACATTTCGATGCAAATAGTAGCAATTTAAAGATTTCTCCCTTTACATGTCATCAGTGGAAGCTTACTAAAGATAGAAAATAGTTTTCTCGTATAGAGAAAAACACGTGTAAAGTTTTTGTAAGTTTTGCCTTTACCTGGGGTAGCCGCAAAAGTTGATGTGCTTACACAAAAAAATAATTTCTATATTTGATAGGTCTGGTAATACAGGCAATACAAATTCAAGTGAGCTTCTCGCCTATATGTTTACTGGTCTGTTTACCTGTGCTACATAACGAGTCGATAAAAGCTTGACTATCTACTCGGTATATATACACTCTGGGACTCACTTCATGGATGGTTTATTATAGTGATAACACAATTTCGTGCACTTGTGGCAAGTTATGTTAAGATGTAACATTGAAACGACGCTAAAAACATGATTAAATCAGTACTAAATAAACCACACACTAAATATATACAAGTCCGTGCTCAAACATTTTTTCAATAATATTGATGAGTAATCAATATGCCAGTTAAAACTAGCAGTATAGGTCATGATGTACAAGTATATCACACACAAACACGAGTATATCGGATATGGTTCATGTAATCTAGTTAATACATTTCTTGTATGTATCCATCGTACGCATGCTAGACAAATAAATGATAAACCACAAACAAGTTGGATTGTATTACAGGAAGTGATGTGATAATATGTGAATTAAAAAATACAGAAATTTAATTTATCATATACAAAATATAGTTAAATACGCGTGTGGGTCTACAAACAAATATCTTAACATAAAAGTGATTACCATCATAATCAATATTGCGATAGCAAAATTGTAATCCAGAAATATGTCTTCTGTTATAAACTTAATAAACGTACACAGCTGCAAGTATGTACTAAAATGTTCATTCACAAACAATTGACTATTGACAAAACGTAGACATTGAAACTGAGAAAAATATGCATGAAACTACATTTGTTCACGGCTTAAGCCGCATCGGAAACGCTTACTTAAATCGGAAATTTAAAGTACATAGATAACTTTGAGCCTCATGTAACGACATGCAAATCTTTAATAACGATGTACCGCGTCTCATGTATTTGAATTTCATCTTGAATAAGGCTTAAATTCTTCAATTTTCGAAACTTTAATAACTTGAAATTGCTTCTTTCTGACAATTCAAAAGACCTGCAGTGAAATACAGGATTTTAATTTTGGTAAAGTTTATGATTCTACTGAATATTAAACCCGTGGTAAGTAGCTTTCCTGATAACCTTGGTTACGTATAGCATCGGAACTGTCGACATCATTTCAAGAATAGCAGTCGGGAAAGACAATCCCAATAATGACAATTAGCACATATTTATAAGTGTTCACATTTTCTGATGGCAACATACCAAATACAGTTGTTTGAGTTTTTTCCGGTAACGTCGATCACATAATGCATATATGATAGGATTAATCATGTTTGTGAAAAAGAAACATCCCAAAAATATATAGAAAAGTGAGAAAGTAACCTCATTAAGACTTTCTAAAAAGTCGTCTGTCGAGTACAGAATACCTGTCAGAAATAGAAATGGTATGTAAGTAGACAAGTATATAATAGTTATAATCAAAAACATAACAGAAGTTCTCCTTGCATTTCCGGAATGCTTGTCCTGACCATGCTGTCTATGTTGCAAAGGTGTTGAGTTTCGAATACGGCCACGTAGCTCGGTTGTTTTGAGTTTAACTGCGTCCCTCACTTTGATTAATTTTGGGCGCGTGGGAATATCTGTCGATAAGTCATGTACCTTGCAGAACGAATCGTTATCTGCTACCACAGAACTGGATATGTCGCCAGCAACTGATTCTTGGAATGCTCCTTCTGACACAGTTTGTGTTCTGGATATTTGCATCTTCCTCAAATTAATTTGTGTACCTGTAGAATTCTTTAGTTGGAAAATTGTCTGTCCAATCCTAAAATAGAGTAGTATCCCAATACCACCAGCTAACGACAGCAAAACCACAAGCGTTACATTAAAATACAACATGTAATGTTTATATGTGTCCACTGAGAAACAAATTGCACCTTCTATGCCATATTTGGTCGGGAAATTACGACGACCAAACAGGATAACGGCGGGCCACGTGAACAACCCAGATATCATCAGAGCGACGAGACATAAATATTTCGCTCTGCGGTAGGAAATTTGAACTCGTAAAGGATGGCATACTTTGCGGTATCTGTCATACGCGATTACCGTCATGATCAACCCAACAGCACAGCATATAAAATAGTTCAGTAACTTTTCTATACTACAAAAGGCTGTCATGTTAGAAGCCACTAGCGGATGATTAAGTTTAACAATGATGAAGGGCATGGATACAAAACACGTGGTCCAATCAAGAACGGCGAGACAGAGAATGTACAGGCGATGATTAGACTTCGTGAACTTAAATGAGTAGATGTAAAGTACATGGGTGTTGCCAATCCCTCCTAGTATGGCAAAAACGCACATGGTGACCATACCTGTAATTTTGTAGGAGTTATAGTGATCATATATCTCTTGAAAACTCGTGTCACCAGACGTGCTCTCTGAACTGTTGATTTGCTCAATATTGGCCATTATTAAGAGAACTCGAAAGCACGGTTACGAGACCTGTACATGAAGCCTGTGGATCTGTAAAGAAATTAGCAAGTGGGTGTAGCGTTTATCTATATACACATTAACTTATTTATCCAACAGTATAATATTTAAAGTCATGTATGTTGATGCTTTTCGATAGGAAACATAACGTTTTATATAGTTATTTCCGAAAACGTCGTAGTTAGGTATTAGAGGTCAAAGCAGCATTAATTTAGTAGCCAACTAATTACAAAACTAATTACATAAGAAATACATAGTTACCTCAGACCCGACGACGCTTGTTTATTTCTCACACTAAATTATATCAACGCCTAGTATACTGACATCCGTGAACTAGTCATTTCTTGTGTGGATACCACAATTTCCGTACTCGTTCCGAATTACGTCATTCGTAATATGACACTTAAGCAAGTGTGTGAAATTGATGTTATGGTTAAGGTAAATATTCCCCTCTCCGAGATGTCATACTTAAGTCTTCATTCAAAGAAATAAGAAAATATTGCAGTGTTAACGCGATACGAGATTTGATCTTGGTAGTTTCATGACAAGGTCAGTAGTGATTATATATTTTAGATATAGTATGGTACGTGCCTCATGTGAGTTTTATACAATTTTGAAACATCCAATATTCGGCTTTCGGTATCTTGAGAGATTTTCCCAGAGAGAATGTTTAATAAACTATGTCTACGAGACAGAAATGGTCATACGTCAATTGTTTAAATATCACAGGTCGTCAAAAAGTCAACATCGTTCCACTTTTTTATGAAATTGACATATTCCCCCCTTATTACAAGTAAATAATATCATTTGATGAAGTTTATAAATCGTGCTACGTCTACCTGGTTTCGTATTAGGGTCATATAATCACAATTATAAATATTGGGTCGAATCTTTTAAGTACTGCCTATCAAAAAATAAGCTGACCGGTATGACTTACATGAGCTAGTGGCGTTACTGTTGAAACATTGCTGTCTTTCATGAGCCTTTAAATCTTGACCGGTAAGAATGAATCAATGTGTTTCATTTTCTAATGTATTAAAATCAACAGGTTTGGTACCAGAGATGAAAAACACTTTATTCGTATTACTAATCAACCGTCGCGGAGATTTGTCGGACCGAGATGTTGTTCCGATAAAGGAGCTAAAATTTGACGGAAAAGCGTGTATAACACGAACTATCTGTGGTAATATGCCTTCGAGGTTCAAACCTAATGTCTCCTGTCTGTGTTGAAAACCTTTGTGGATGTGATATTGATGTACGCATTATTGTCTCATATCTTCATTTCCGATATTTGTCTACGTTCTAAGTTTATGTTATTGATTCTTAATGTCATAGTGTACTAACAAATCAATCTACACAACCAAATAACAGGGCTTCATCTATGAATCAAACAGCGGTTTGGATTTATTGTACAATGATTGTTTCATTAAACAGCACAAATATATTGATAAAGATATTTAAGAAAAAGTAGGCAACTTTTTATTAAGACAGGACATAAAATAATGAAGAGGTCATCTGTTTCCGAAATGCTTTTTTTCATTTTCTGCGTTGAGTACTAAGATATATACAACTGAAATATGAACTTAACCTCAAATTCTAGAGTGGATAATTTTGTTAGTACGATACAGCAAACTTGACATCAGACATTAAATTGAATCGTTCAATAGTATTAATTGTAGTATATGTATCGAACGTAAATTTATGTAGGCATAGCGACCTTTTTATCAAACAAAACCAACACTATTCCAGTGTCCACAGTGCATGCATATATTCTGTCAATAGAATAGAAACAAATGAAGAATACGGATTTATAACTGAACTTATAACGATACGCTTCGAGATAGAAATGGCTGATGTTTTTGAACGTAACTGCACTCAGTTAATATTACCAAAACTGCAAAAATTTACGGAAGTCGAAAAAGTCTTAAACTAAACTCATATTGGTAGATCTAGGGCAAATAATGATCATAGGTCAGGGGCACAGATTGGTCATATTGGTATGGCCATGGTATATTTGCAGATCTTACCACCAAACTCGACGAACACGAATGTCGATCGTTTTTCCGACTTCGTCACCAATGTATTTTAGCTTTAATTTGGACCTATTTTTCAAGCTTCACCATACATATAGTTCACAATCATATATTTGTACTATCGTTTACATTTCTTTGAAAAAAGGAAAACTTCAATTAGAATAACCAAGGCGTTCCTTCATTTTAGACGTTTGGAGTATTGGCTTGTACAAAGAGAAAATCCAAGGCGTTCCTTCAGTTTAAACGTTTGGAGTATTGGCTTGTACAAAGAGAAAATCCAAGGTGTTCCTTCAGTTTAAACGTTTGGAGTATTGTCTTGTACAGAGAGAAAAAATCCAAGGCGTTCCTTCAGTTAAGACGTTTGGAGTATTGTCTTGTACAAAGAGAAAATCCAAGGCGTTCCTTCAGTTAAGACGTTTGGAGTATTGTCTTGTACAAAGAGAAAATCCAAGGCGTTCCTTCAGTTTAAACGTTTGGAGTATTGGCTTGTACAAAGAGAAAAGCCAAGGCGTTCCTTCAGTTTAAACGTTTGGAGTATTGGCTTGTACAAAGAGAAAATCCAAGGCGTTCCTTCATTTTAGACGTTTGGAGTATTGGCTTGTACAAAGAGAAAATCCAAGGCGTTCCTTCAGTTTAAACGTTTGGAGTATTGGCTTGTACAAAGAGAAAATCCAAGGCGTTCCTTCAGTTTAAACGTTTGGAGTATTGTCTTGTACAGAGAGAAAAAAATTCAAGGCGTTCCTTCAGTTAAGACGTTTGGAGTATTGTCTTGTACAAAGAGAAAATCCAAGGCGTTCCTTCAGTTTAAACGTTTGGAGTATTGGCTTGTACAAAGAGAAAAGCCAAGGCGTTCCTTCAGTTAAGACGTTTGGAGTATTGTCTTGTACAGAGAGAAAAAATCCAAGGCGTTCCTTCAGTTAAGACGTTTGGAGTATTGTCTTGTACAGAGAGAAAAAATCCAAGGCGTTCCTTCAGTTTGGACATTAGAGGCATTTGCTCGTACAAAGAGGAAGATAAAGATTCACATGACATTGATATGTTTATGTTGCTCGTGTACAACACAATGGCAAAAAACTTTGATTTCTTCGACGTATACTAATCGCTTAGGTGAAAAAAACACACCAAGATGTGGTTGACAGGAACAATTCAGTCGGTTCTGTAGAGGCAGAAAACATGCACAGCATCTTAGTTCTCAGATAGAATAGATCTTTCACTTTATACTCTATGAGTACTAGTATTTTGCTAATCTCTATTACTTTGTCAAAATACTTAGTTTATTTCCTTACCGGCTTTGCAAGGTCGAATTGCATCAAGGAACGATATAATCTGCTTTAAAGATTAGCACACATCACTTGATTACATAACAACCTACATTTATCACATCACTGCTGTGCTATCAGTGATAAAAAAACGGGACATTAAGAATGTATTTTACATGGAAATCGCGCAATGGGCTATAATTGCCTTGATGTTTTACACGCTCTAAATTCAATCAGGAAAATAACGAAAACAACACACGAAAATAGTAAAATACAGCAGAAAATGCATTCATAAAATAGGATAAAAATATAATCAACATGTCACCGGAACGGCTGGTCGAGTCTTGCTGGATAAATACTGAAACAGCGTGATGAAGTCTATGGTCACAATCAGCATTACGAACATCACTAGAAAGGCCGACCCCGAATATCCTATTACAGCTGCTGATGTACGTGGGTCAGAGGCTGAGGTTTTTCTCCTTATCACTGACGACAACTTTGACTTGTCCAATGCCAGTTTCTTGCGAAGCTCTCGGAGGATTGCAGAAAGGTTTTGCGTGTCCGTGGTTATTATGCATCTACACTTGCACAATCCTAGAAATACAAATTCTTATCTTGAAATAGGTCAAATCATTTTGCATTAGTGTAGGAGTGCTGCAAATCTACAACAAAACAAATATCAAATTATCAGCTAAGAAGCTGACTTGTTGATAATGCCCACATTCTTTCATTAATTAAGAGGAATTATTCCATGGTATAATGAGATAAAATACTGGCAAACCATGTTAATCATGCTAGCGTACCGTTATGAAGAGTTGAATTAGTTGGTTTGTCTGTGTGGTCGTCAATGGTAGTGTATAGAGCAACCGACCTTTCAGAGGTAACGGTAAAGTTTGCCGTCGTTGTGGCGAACTTGCTGCTTCTTTCTGTATAAACGACGAGGGCAGCTGTAGTATGTTCCGATGTGGTTGTCTTGGCTGTGGAGGTGGTTGTAAAATAATTCGGTGCTGTTGTTTCTAATGAAGGTGTTGTTTCTGAAACATACAATATGCATAATTGTATTTGGAGTGTTGAACAACATCATAAACATGATACATATTGGAAAAATCGTTTCACCAAATCACTTATTGTGTAAATCAAACATAGAGATGAAGTTTGGTTCTTAAGTTGAACAATAGCGTGTAGCCTACTACGGTTCAAGTACTATAGATGCAACATCATCGAATATATTAGTATACTCTTTCAAAAGCATCAAGATGGTGTTACCTGTGTTTGAAACGTAGAATGTTCCTCTGCATCCGTTGCTAACCCATATTAAGTTACCGCTCAGACCAAACGATCCCCCCATGATACACGGGGATCCAGAAATCTGTTGTGTTTTCACAATAGTATTGTAGTGGGCATTTAGGTCACATTCGGTATATGCGAAGCTGTTACTCTCACACGTTATAGATTGGTCACCAAACACTGTAGAGAAAAGGTGTGAGACAGAACATTTTAAACATTGTTTTACGGATGACTGGCTTCCAACCTTATGATTTTTGTATGTCTTGCACTTTATATCAAAGAATTTCTACAAGCAACTCTGCGAAAACATGATTTCTTTGTCCAAATGACGAAATTGGGGTATCTTTCAATTTTACATCAAAAGGCATACCTACTATCGGCCAATCATTTCACTTATGATCAAAACATATTCTCTTACAGATTACCCGTCCCCTCTTTTTTACAGACATCGAGAACATATCTCTTGTTTGTCTTAAATCACTTGTTTTGAAAATCACAAAAAAATAAACCAAGATGTCGAAATGCGGCTACAAAAACCCCTTCAGTCTATCAATATCAAATATTCTTCAATTAACCCATTTTGAACCTAAACTTGCTCAGCTATATCACTGAATCGATTCCAAGGGTATAACGGTCAACAAAGCAAAACTGATTTGAAATATTTATAATACTGCCAGTACATCCATTCAATAGCATAAGCCAACATGTAAA